GAGATAGCTCAGGGCTCAGGGGTCACGAGCCCGCACTGCTTTTGAGAAAGACCCAGGTCAGTTTCTAGCACCTGCATCCATTTCCAGGGGATCCGACGTCCTTGTCTGGCCTCTGCGGGTGCTTACGTGTGTGTGTGTGTGTGTGTGTGTGTGTGTGTGTGTGTGTGTGTGTGCTGCGTATACATATACTCAGGCACACATACAAGCACATAAAATAGAGATAGGCATTTTGTCCCTTAAAGTGAGGCACAAAGAGGATTTAAAAATTAAAACGAGTGCAAGGTCACTCCGTGGAATTGTAGAATTACAAGCGGAGCCAAACCGTCTCACTCCAAAACCGGGACTCCAGAGAATGGACCCCGCAGTCTGCCTCAGCGGTGGCACCAAACCTTCCCCAGGTGGGTCTGGATGGCAGCTGGATTGGGATAAGGAGATGAGGAGATGTCTTGTCTTGAACTCTATTTGTAGGAATCCCCAAGGGACAGCAGCATCCAAGCCCCCTAAGGACCCTGCTGGCTCAGTGGTCAGTTCTGAACAGCTCTCCACTGTAATTGCCACATCATTCAAGCAGATCATTTTATGAGAGCTTTTTATTATTCTCTAGGGAGTGTGAAAACCTCCTAATGAATATCTCATCCAAAATGCAAGAGGCAAGACTGACTTAGGCGGGATCTGTGGCAGGCCCGTGGTTCTGTGAACTCGAGGCTGGTTGTCCTAATGTCAGGGGCCTACTGTGTGCTGTCACAAACCAAAGACAATGCACGCAGCCACACAGGCAGTGCTTTGGTCTCATAGGTGTGCAAGCAAATCGGAAAACCCTTGACCTCACTGTATCTTGTGCCGTACTCTGGGCTGAGTAATCTGACTTATGGAGCTGAGTCTAGTCACCATGAGGACCTAATTATTTCATTGATCACACAGATGCTGCAAAAGGCACTCCAGGCCTGAGTGTTTTCATCTCCTGAGGCCACCTCCCTGAGCTTTGAAACACACACCTCCCTCCATGTTAGACGTCTCAGAGTCTAGAAATTCGAGAAGATACGTCTTGCATATAAGATACCCAGCCGGTGGCATTCTGTTATAGCACAGAAACGTACTGACAACCCTAGAGAGAGAGAGAGAGAGAGAGAGAGAGAGAGAGAGAGAGAGAGATTCTCGAAACTCCTGCAGAAGTCTCATTCTGTAGCCCAAGCTAGCCTATAGCTCACTATGTAGTCCAAAGTAGCCTCAGACTCTCAGCAGCCCACCTGCCTCAGACTTCCAAGTGCTGGGATTATGGGTGAGAGACACCATGTTTGACTACAGATGGGATCTTGGCTCTGTATTGCTACGCATGGACAGAATTGGCTATTCCTGGCTGTGATCCCTGTGACCTCCCAGGGAGAAACTTGCAACCAAGTAGTGAAGTCTAACTGGAACCTAGAACCTGCCCAGGAAGAGACACAATCCCTAGCCCGACCCAGTGCTGCTCTCCAAGCCTTTTGATCGGTGCCACTAGCTGTCTGCACATTCCTAATGGTCTCAAAGAGACTTTATCACTCATGAGGATGGCAATAAATGGTCTGTAACACTTCAAACTGTCCACAACCTCTGAAGCCGTGATTAGTAAATCAGCATGAGTACGAGCTGGGGTTCTCTCAGGGAGAGCCTCCTGCTCCCCCTGCAGCTCAGGATGACTGGGAACTCCTGATGCCCCTGCCACTATGTCCCAAGTGCTGGGACTACAGGTATATGAGACCACACCCAGCTATAGAGCTCTTAGTTAATTTATTTTGTATCGTGTGTGCGTGCGTGTGTGTGTGTGTGTGTGTGTGTGTGTGTGTGCGTGTGTATGTGTGTCTCCTTGTATGTGTGAATGTATGTGCCCGTAGAGGCTGGAAAGCGGTGTTGAATCCTCTCTGAAGCTGTAGTTACAGGCAATTGTGAGCCACCTAGTGTGGGTGCCGGGAAACAACCTGGTATTTGCCACCCCTTGTACCCCCCCACCACCGCTTATTTCTGCTCCTCCTTCTGGGCCTCCCACCATTCACTACTGATGCTTCTGGCTTTTGATTAAATTCTGCTTTGTCAGATATCACGTTTAACACCCCTGCCTCCCTTACTCACACACACACACACACACACACACACACACACGCACGCACACACATGCTCCCTTGGGTTTGCCTCTGTCATTTCCTTCTGTGTGTCTTTGTATTTGCATGACAGGTTCTTGTTGAGAACCTCTTTGTCCAAGGAGAATGTGGTCCACCGTGTAACAGTCATGAGGTGCTGTGTCTCACCATCGAGTGGGATTTTACCTGGTTAACATGGTCTGTGTGTAACTAGGATGTCACATGACTCTTTGTCCCTTTGTTGTTGTGGGTTGTTTGTCTGTGTACTGCTCTGCTGTAGAACTCATCTGGTCTCAAACACACACACACACACACACACACACGCACGCACACACGCACACGCGCACACGCACACACACGCACACGCGCACACGCACACACACGCACACACGCACACACACACACGCACACACGCACACGCGCACACGCACACACACACGCACGCACGCACACGCACACACGCACGCACGCACACGCGCACACACACGCACACGCGCACACGCGCACACACACACGCACACACACACGCACACTTTTGCACAGATCCCTTCTTCCTTAACACCCCACAAGACTAAAAACCCATCTATCCCCCACAGAGGACTGAGAAGGGCACAATGATGGAGCCGGTGTCACCCACCCACACCCTGGCATATTTCTTATTTCTTTTCCACTCCAAGACAGCTCTGCCCTCTTAGAATCCCATGCCTACCGTTTCTGATCTCATCTCCCACCCTAAGCACATTTCTTTGAGTATATTCTCCTCCATCTCAATACATTTGTATGATTAAATTTCAGATGATCAGCTGGTGGTGGCACACGCCTTTAATCCCAACACTCGGGAGGCAGGGGCAGGCGGATCTCTGTGAGTTCGAGGCCAGCCTGGTCTACAAAGTGAGTTCCAGGACAGCCTCCAAAGCTACAGAGAAACCCTGTCTCAAAAAAACAAAAAAAAATTTCAGATGATCTAAAGGGGGCATATTTTCCTTATTTATTTTCACATGAGATCATGAAAAAAAAAAAAGAATTCTGGGAGACGGAAGTCTTGTGTAGCAACAGAGTCTGGGTCCTACCCAAGGCCAGCATCAGAATGTGTTCTTCAATGGCTGCCTGAGTATTGTGTTTAAGACTAGGTGACTGGGTGGTGGTGGTGGTGGTGGCAGTGGCAGTAGCTGTGGTGGTGGTGGCGCACGCCTTTAATCCCAGCCCTCGGGAGGCAGAGGCAGGAGGATCTCTGTGAGTTCGAGGCCAGCCTGGTCTACAAGAGCGAGTTCCAGGACAGCCTCCAAAGCCACAGAGAAACCCTGTCTTGAAAAACCAAAAAAAAAAAAAAAAAAAAAAAAAAAAGACCAGGTGGCTTAAGGCCTCTTCTCGGGGATCACAGGTACGTGCTGTGGTCCTGGCTTATGAGGCTTTGGGTGGAATTCAGGGATTTTATGCACACTAGGTATGAACTGTGCCTACTGGGTTACACTGCCAGCCCCTCTGTTTCTTATGTGTGAATTTTAAAAATCAGTTTGAAGTTCCTTTGGAGGGACAATTGGGTTCGATCTTTTTCCTTTTGGATTTCAGTATATATCCTAGTTTCCTTTAAGACAAAAGATAATAATTTGTACTATCAAACTTTCCCCATTAGTTACCCTGACAAATTTATCTTCCCTTTGAGTCTGTGTTTGAAATGCAAATTAAACTGTCCATTTTTAATGATTCCTGAAAGGAATGGCTTTTAACAGTAACCCTTCCTGTTCTTATAGATTTCTAAATGTTGTTTCTTGCTTTTTGAACATCTGAAGCCAAGCAGCCTCTCACAGGGTGACTGACCCGAGTTGGTAACACATAGCCTGAACCTGTCTGCAAATATCTTCCCTGCTGTTTGGATGTGGAATGGAAGTTTATTGTTCTCCACATCCTGATTGGCAGCCCCTTACCCTGCATCCTGCAGCGACCTTTAAAAGCCATCACCACTTTCTGGAACATAATGGTAGAGACGACCCCACTTATAAGAGCAGTAAATAAGAGGACCCGCGGCAGAGTAACTTCAGCAAGTGAGACGCCGCTACAAGTACTCAAGATACTGTGTATGTCACCTTCATCTTTATTTATTTAGACATGGTCTCATATATCACAGACTGGACTCAAACTTGCTATGTAGCTAAGGACGGCTTTGCATTTCTGATCCTCCTGCCTTAACCCCCCCGCCACCTAGGTGCTGGGATGCTAGGTAAGCGTCACACACCCAGCCTTACCTAAGGGTGAAACCTAGAGCCTCCTGCACAACTCCACCAAGGCAGTCACACCCACAGACCCTGCTTTGATCTTCACAGAAAGTCCCCCAATTCTTTTTTTTGTTTTGTTTTGTTTTTTGTTTTTTTTTTTTTGAGACAGGGTTTCTCTGTATTATTTTGGAGGCTGTCCTGGAACTAGCTCTTGTAGACCAGGCTGGCTTCTAACTCACAGAGATCCACTTGCTTCTGCCTCCCGAGGGCTGGGATTAAAGGCGTGTGCCACCACTGCCCCGCACCTTTTAAGATTTACTTATTTATTTAATTATGTATACAGTGTTCTGTCTGCATGTGTGCCTCCAGGCCAGAGGAGGGCGCCAGATCTCATTACGGATGGTTGGGAGCCACCATGTGGGTGCTGGGAATTGAACTCAGGACCTCTGGAAGAGCAGCCAGTGCTCTTAACCTCTGAGCTGTCTCTCCAGCCCCCATTCCCCCGACTCTTCATCCATGTTATTCATTTGTTTCCATCTCCCCCCTTCCCCTCCCCCCCATCTTTGTTCAGACAAACCACTCACACTCTAGTGCATGGACCAGGGCAGCTCCAACTGTTCCTCCTGCTAACCCAGCCTCCTGCCACTCCCCCCCCCCACAGTCACCCTGTTACCTGTGGGCAGCCCGGCTCCTGTGAGTCCACGTGACACACGTGTGTGCATCCACCTCCGCCATCCGCTGTCAGCCGTGGTGTTTGGCTGTCGTGTACTACCTAGATCTCTTTTAGAACAGGATGGGCAGCAGGGGAAGGGGCAGACAGATGCAAAGCTCAGACAGCAGAGATCCTAGACAGGCCCAACCTCAGCACTGGCGCAGAGGCTAAGGCACGGGGACTGTTAAACAGGTTTTTAAAAAAGGGTTGATTTTCATCTTATGTGTGTGTTTTGCTTTTACAAGTTCATACGTGTGCATTACATGCATGCAGTTCCCACAGAAGTCAGCGGGAGGCGCTAGATCCCCCGAAACCAAAGTTAGAGGATTGTTAACCATTGTGGGGGTGCTGGCAACTGAAGCCAGGTCTTCTGTGACAATATGAGCTCTTAACCGCTGGGTCATCACTCTAGCCTGACTATGTGCTTATTAGACAAGTTCTCACGCATCCCTGTCCCCCCCCCGCCCCAATCAAACTCTTTTATGTAGCCGGATATGACCTTGATCCCCCTTCTCTCACCATCCAAGTTCTGGAATCGCAGACACAAGCTGTCACATACATCTGGGCATCAGTTCTCCCTAAAGTACATGACAATCAAAGCCACCACCATCCCCCTGCCTCCAAGAGCACCACCGGGAGAATCCTCTAGGTCCCACAGAAAATTATTACCATTAAGCAGGCATCAGTCATGGGTTTATCACCGTACACTGCCCCTGCTCAGGGCAGCTCAGTACCTTCCTATACACACTGAGTGTGGTGTAAGCCTGGCGTGGTGGCTGGTGTCCACAGTCCCAGAGCTCAGGAGGGTGTGGCATAGCCACACCCCCTTTTAAAGCACCCAAACTAACCAGAGAAAATGCCTTGTTTCACTAAACGTGTGTGTATGTGTATGCATGTGTGCACATGCATGTATGTATGTGTGTGCATATGCATGTACGTATGTGTGCGTGTGTATGTATGTGTGTTCATGTGTGTGTGCACATGCATGTATGTGTGTGTGTGAGTGTGTATTTGTGTGTGTGTCTAGCAAGCTCTTAGGAACCATACAGTTAGTTGATAGTGGGCAGCTGTCAAAGGGAATGAAGATGCCTGAGATAACCTTGGCTCTTGATCTGCAACATTCCATCTCCCCGGATCCCCTCGCTCTGGCCAGCCAAGGCTGCACCGTCCGCAGATGTCACGTGGCAGACGGGGCTTCCCCATGGAACCTCAGTTAAGGATGGAAAGCTGAGGGCTACTGAATCTGGGTGGTGGTTACCTGAGGGCTCATTAGACGTGCCTCCCTCTTTTGAAGTCTTTAAAATTTTTCGTAGCCAAAACAAACAAACCCAAGGAGAGCCGGAGAGATGGCTCAGTGATTAAGAATGTTTGCTGTTCTTGCAGAGGTCCTGAGTTTGGGTCCTGTTAGAGGCTGACTGCCCCATTTCTGCCTTCACTATTGATTTCAATGTGGGTTAAGTAACTTACTTCATCTGTTAAAGAATAACAGAGCCTCCGTTCCTTCTATTACTCAGCTCCCACGCCTGTTTCCAGAATCTTGGCGCTTGTACTTGTGTTTCTGAAGTGAAGCAAGATTCATGTTCCTATTGTGTAGACTGTGCTCTCAAGCCTACAGACCACAGAGACCTCTTGAAAAGTAGGGTTCATGTGACGGGGCTTTTTCAGAAACTGGTCAGTCACAGTGACGTCAAAAGCTTTGACAATGTGTTTGTGCCGAATGCTAACAGCAAAAGTTCTGCTTCTGTTTCGGCTTCGCTTGCTTACAACGGGCATGAAAGGGACATAAGATCCTCTCTGCTGCAGCTAAGAGTTGCTCACGTTCTCCTGCTCAAGAGGCCCCGATAGGAATGGATTTGACCCGGCAATTTCTTGGTCTTAGCTCCTGGTATTCATAACACTTCCCAGCATGAATAAGGCCCTCTACAATGTCACACAACTCCTGTTCCAGGAGGTCTGATACTCCCTTCTGGCCTCAGTGGGCACTGCGTATGTGTAGTACACATACATACATACATACATGCAGGCAAACACTCGCACATATAAAAGTGAATAAAATTTTAGGTATTTAAGGTCCCCATGAAATGGCTCAGCCAACTCAGACATGTTGAAAAATTGGCTCATGTGTCTGTACTTAGACTTTCATACATTGTATACAAACGTACACACCACCAATAATGAAGAAATAAAAATGTGAGACACGCCTGGAGAGACGGTTTAGCGATTAAGAGCACTTGCTGCTCTCGTAGAAGACCGGATATTAGTGCCCAGCGCCCTCACTGGGCAACTTAAAACTCCACGTAACTCCGGGAGGGCACCCACACACGTGTGAGTTTGCATGTGTGGGTGTATGTGCACATATATAAGTACAATTACTTTTTAAAAAATAAATAATAAAAAAAGATAATAATAAAAACAAACTACCACCAACAGGAAATAAGTTCACTGTGGATGTTTCAAAGATGAATAAAAAACGTTAACATGTGTTCAGCCATCTATGTTGCCGTCTGTATGTATTGGTTCTGTATGGGACACTACAAGCTCAGGTACGTGTCCCATTATGTAGCCTGAACTTACTCTGTAAGGTAGGTTGTCCTTCCCAATCCTCCTGCCTCAGCGTGTTTTCCCCTTCCTTCCTTCCTTCCTTCCTTCCTTCCTTCCTTCCTTCCTTCCTTTCTCCCTCCCTCCCTTCCTTCCTTCCTTCGCTAAAAACAAACATAGCTTATCTCTTACCTTTGATAAACAGAGCTTACCGCACATGCGCACAAAGAAGCCAGTGGTCCCGCCTAGGCCGCTGTGACATAGGGCTCAGCTCTGGCCCTGGGTCTCAGGAATGTCCTCCCCGTCCAGGGTTACAGAGACTGGACTAAGACTCAGAGTTCCTTGTCTAAAGCTACTCTTAGGAGCAGCCTGTAGGAGCTTCCTGAGATGATGGCGGTGGCGCAGGCTTGGCGGATAAACTTCAGGCGAGCGGCTGCAGGCGCCCAGAAAGCAGGTCCAGCTGCAAGTCATTCGAAGGAATGAATGAGAAGGCAAAATGGCTTCCTCGCTCGATTCCGTATTGTATGAGTGCCCTGTGAGCCCAGCAACTCCACCATTAACGTCTTAATCTTGGAGGAAGCTGAGGGAAACTGATGTCATTGGAATGCAGAAAAAGAATATGTTTTATCTGCTTCCAGAGACCGTCTTGGTTACCCTGGCCTGTGGGGGAAGACAGCCTGGATGCACAGCTAATTATTTTCAGCCCCTGGTTGTCGCCTCAGCTGGAGAGATGCAGTAATGAGGCTGAGGGCTGGGCTCTCTCCAGTGGAGAAGTAACCTTGGTTCCTAATGTTGCTATAAAGAGCACTTTGACTTCACTGTCCTAAGGATGCAAGCATGTCCCTGGCCCGGGGAGGACCTGATGGGATAGTATTTGTCAATCACAACTGGGAAAAAAATTAAGTATATATAACTTATTTATTTTGAGTTGTCAAGGCCCTCATTTTTGTTTTGTTTTGTTTTTTCTAGACAGGGTTTCTCTTTGTAGCTTTGGAGGCCGTCCTGGAACTTGCTCATGTAGACCAGACTGGCCTCGAACTCACAGAGATCCTCCTGCCTCTGCCTCCCGAGTGCTGGGATTAAAGGCGTGCGCCAACAACGCCCGGCTAGACCCCCTTTTAACTGAGGGACACAGTCAGAGGACATGTGCCCCACCCGAGAATAAAGGCGTCTCCAATGGCCCAGTCAGTGCTTGGTCTTGCTATTGGTTTTGCATCCCTGGAGGGAAAAGAAACCAGTCTGGAAACAAGAAATGGTCCAGCTGCGAAGACCTGTGTCCTCCAGTTAGAGACGCATTGGTGCGGTCCTTTTGCCTAATCCAGGGCCCACCTCTTTCCTAGATGGTAGAAACAGAAATGCCCATACTGCGGTAGGGAAATTTCCATGGCCACTCGTGAGATTATCACCATGTGCTTTATAGCACACACACACACACACACACACACACACACACACACACACACACACACACACACACACAAGGTTTGACTGTCCAGGAAGCAGTGGGTTGAATGTTCTTATTATGTGCTTTGTGTAGGAGAAGCAAACGCATCCAAATTGTCCACATGACAAGACAGACTCTAAGTTAAGTCCAGCATTATGTCAGAAATCACATATTTTTATCATGAAGGCTGCAACTTTTAAGCAGGCGGTATGTTGGATTTCTCACCGTGTGAAACCCTTCACCACACGGCACGATCCCTTTATAAATGTGTTCTGAGCTGGGTGTGCTAGCTCACACCTGTACTTGGGAGGCTGCAGTTGGAAGCTAGCCTCGGCTGGAGTGAGACCCTGTCTCAAAACAAAATAAGAGATGGATGTGTTCAACAGGTAGAGCTAGCTCAACTTAACATTTTAGAGGGGTGCCATTTTTTCGTGTGTGTGTCTTTTAATATTTCCCTTCGATGGTTCCTTTGAACTTTGTGGTATTGTGTTACTGTTTTGCCCTCATGATTTTTCACTCCTCATGTTTGCGTACCACTCCAGCCCAAAACTCTGGTGAGAATTACAGATTGCCTTAGAGGCCACGGTGGGGGGGGGGCAGTTTCACGGCTAAGAGCATTGCTGCTTTTGCAGAGGGCCCGGGTTTGTGCCCAGCACCCATGCGAGGTGACTCATAGCAGCTGCCTGCAGCTCCGGCTCCAGGGGCTCTGAAGTCCTCTGCTGGCTGCGGTGGGCACCAGGCACACACGCGGTGCAGTCATTTTTACGGTCCCCCTGATGACTGTATGAATAGTTCAGTCACGCCGGCCTCAGCCTTCCTTCCCAGCTAGGCCTCTCATGCCGGATGTGGAGGACCGGTGGATTTGATAGAAACAGGCAACCACTGTGCGCAGCTGCACACATCCGTGTCCTCTCGGTGTCGGGATATATCTGAACGGTGGCATTGTCACAAGCTGCACCGGTTTCCTTGGTGGCATTTGTAAGGAGCCCAGGCTTCCCCCGTGGCTGGCAAAGCACAGGGTCGTTTACTCCAGCCTTAAAAAAATGTTTTACTCTTGCACACTTTTGTAGATGCATGAAGCGTATCTTGATTATATCGGCTCCCCATGCCCCCCCTTGTCAGCTCCGTGGCATGTCCCCGTCTTATTTCCATGACTTTTATTTTTTTTAATTTGAGCAATCCACTAAACTGAGCTGCATGAGCATTGGGTGCGAGGCTACTTACTGGAACCCCTGCCACCTACCGGTGACCACACAACACTTCCCTCCCTTGGCAGTCTTTTTTTTTTTTTTTTTTTGGTTTTTCGAGACAGGGTTTCTCTGTATTGTTTTGGAGGCTGTCTTGGAACTCGCTCTGTAGACCAGGCTGGCCTCGAACTCACAGAGATCCACCTGCCTCTGCCTCCCGAGTGCTGGGATTAAAGGTGTGTGCCACCAATACCTGGCTTCCCTTGGCAGTCTTTAACTGCCAGTATTTCCTCAGAGAAGCCAAGGTCTCCCAAGTCCTCCCCATGGAGCAACGCGCCTAAGGAATTCATGACGAATGTTTCCGGGCCCTGTAGTAGGTGCTTTTCTGTTTCTGAGATGGTCGAGGCAGCCCTGGAGAAGAGTTTGTTTAGGTTTATGGTCCCAGAGGTGTAACGTGCATTCTTTGCACCAGCCCGGTCCCTGAGAGGCGTCAGTCCCAAATGAACACGCAGGATGCTATATTAATTATGAAGCTGTTGGCCGTTTGCTGTGGCTTCCTAATGGCTAGCTCTGACCTAATTATTAACCCATAATTACTAATATATATATTTTATAAGGTCTTGTCTTGCCCAGAACGCCAGACTTGCTCCCTCTCCTCCTGGCATCACATGGCGACCCTCTACTCTTGACTACATTTCCCAGAATCCTCCTCGACTCCTAGTCCCACCTCTCTTGCTTCCCTATTGGCCAACAGTGCCTTATTTATCAACCAACTAGACAAGCACATACACAGAAGGGCTGCCCCCATCACAGAGGGACACACCTGCCTCTCATGGCAGATGGGCATGGCGGGGAGCTGCAGGCACCCCCCCCCAACCCCCCCCGACACAGGGACAAAAGGCTCACATCTGGAGCAACTGTAGCTGGGAAGCAGGGAGTGAGCTCAAGGTGGCCAGGTCACTAACGTCCCAAAGCCCCCCCTTCAGATGACACGCCTCCTTCAGCAGGGCTGCACTCCCCGGACCGCCCTGACACCGAGTGTTCAAACGACCAAGACTACACACTGGGGACGTTCATCACTGGAACGTCAACAGCCCCCACACCGTGGCTGTGCAGGTAAGCTCGGCGACCCTGAGTTCATGGAAGACACTGTCCGACAGCACCCCCTCCGACCAGGTGTTACTCCAGCTTAAATTACTGGTATGAATTTTCACATCCCATGTCGCACTTTACATAATAGTGCAGACCTACTTGTGAAAATCATCACAGAATAGCTACGGAATGAGAAACGGGACCCAGAATGAAAAAGAAGCCTTACTAAA